GCGTTAAGCTTGTGCATTTGTATTTCAGATGTGCCTTTTCTGGTGGACACCGATAACTGCCTGCCTGGGAGCCTTTCCAGCCCTCTTCTCCATTTTCTGCTTCCCGCTATGGACAGTGAAAAACCCCAAAATTCACTTTCCCAGTCTCCCCAGCAGCTAAGGGTGACCCATCTTTGCCCAATGAGAACCAAGGGGACATCTGTTGCAAGGATCTAAGAACGTTCTTTCCCCGCTTGACAAAAGGAGAGAAGTCAAAAAACAAACTCATCGCATTGGCCCTGCACCTCATTCCCAACTTTGATCCCTGTCATGTGGGTGAATGATTCCAGGAGCTATGGCAGTCATCTTGCTACCATGAGGTGACCAGCCTAAGGATCAAAAAAAACCTCTAATAATGGTTTGTCCTCAATTACATCACGGGGGGTTGCTGAACCTACCCTGGAGGTACCCTGGAATCTAACTCCCAAAATAAATTTCTTTACAGTTTAAGTTAGTGGTTCTCAAAGTTTGTGGTTAAGTTAGCATGTTAGAAGCACCTGGGAAGGGCGCCTGAGTGGCTCAGTTGGTTAAGCAACTGCCTTCAGCTCAGGTCATGATCCCAGGGTCCCGGGATCGAGTCCCACATCTGACTCCCTGCTCAGCAGGGAGCCTGCTTCTCCCTCTCCCTCTGCCTGCCACTCCCCCTGCTTGTGTCCTCTCTCAATGTCAAATAAATAAATAAAATCTTTAAGAAAAAAATTTTGTTTAAAAAAAAAAAAAGAATAACCTGGGAAGCTTTTAAGATTCCTCATGCCCAAGCCACAGCCCCTACCAGTAAAAATCAGCATTTCTGGGAGTACTGCGGAAGGTAGGGTGGTACTCAGGCATCAGGACTTTAAAAAATCTGGTGATGCAAAGGTGTAGCAAATTTGAGACCCAATAGCATAAGCCAGTGTTTACGTGCTTACAAATCACCTGGGAATTCATTAAACTAAGACTGATTTGGTAGGTCTGAGCTTCTGTATTTTTAGCAAGTTCCCAGTTGATGTGGATACTGCTGGTTCAGGGACCATACTTTGAGTATGGAGCATTACTGTTACAGTGACTGAAGGCATCCTAACTGGTACATCCTTTTTCTAGAGGCAGAAGTCCATCCTCATCATTTCACTGGTGTGGGTGGAGGAAGCCCTCTGGGAATGGCGAGACAGCAGGAAGGGCCTCTCCCTGCCAGGGGTCTATTAGCCACTCTGTGTCACCAGGCCCCCAGCCAGAGCTGATGGGTTCTTAAGTCAATGCTTCATCCAGTAGTAAGCAAAATCCTGGGCTGGGAGGCTGGCTGTTTGCTGGTGTCCTCTCCGGGGTGCGGCCCCAGCCAGGCCAGCTCTCATGACCCACCCAGGCCTCTGCAGCCGTGGGCAAAAGGGCTCTAACTGAAGCTCCCCCTTTATTTGGGGGCCTTCCTCCACTAGCCTCCATCTCAGCTCTGCTCTTGGCTGGTAATAAGGGGGTGCTGCTTAAGGTAGCATCTTTCTCTTTGGTTGCTAAAAGTCAGGCTTCCACAAACAGTCAAGGTGAAATTTCAGGCCAGAGAGAAAGAGCCTTGGCAGAGGCCCTCCGTCCCCTTCAGAGTCATCTGCATATTTACCCTTCTTTACCTCTTTCCTTCCAATCTCCAAGACGACATGCCAGCCTCCCGACTAACACAGCAGTCCCCGGGCTACTTCTGCAGCTCTGAAAGCTCTCAGCAAGGTCATCGGTGACCCCCGCCTTCTCCTTCTCCCTGCACGTCCAACTGGCTAGTCTACGGCTCCATTTCCCTGTTCCCTTGTGTAGCAAACGCCCTCAAGGAGATCTGTCTGCCCTTGCATCCGGGTCTCCCTCTGTCCCATGTGTGCCTGCGCTCAGTCTCCTGAGGCCTCAGTCCCCACCAGCCCGCTGAGGCTCTCTCGTCCAGGTCACCCATGGCCTCCAACGTGCCGGTCTAAAACATTCTCCCCATGAGCAGCTTTGGGCACAGGTCAGCCTGCCCCTTCTCTGCCGGCGTGCTTTCACTTGGTCAGCACGCCTCACCCGCTTGGCTTCATCTGTCCTCTCTCACTCCTCTTGTTCGGTCTCTCGGGCTGGTTCAGCCTCCTCTTGCGGACCTCCGTGGTAAAGGCCCGGGGCTGGGTGCTCTCTTCCCTGCTCCTCCCTTCTAAGTTTCTCCAGGGACCCCATCTCTCCAATAGCTGTCAGCTCCACCTGCAAGCCATGCCTGACCCCACCCCAGATCCGGACTCACGGCCTCCCATCTCCAGCCGCACGCCAGTATCTCCCCGGGGGTGGTCAACGGGAACCTCAAGTGCCACGTGTCCCGAGCAGAATTCTTAACTTCCCCTCACCAGCACTGTCGACTTGGAAACTCAGGAGGCAAACTAGGAACCAGCCTTGCCTCTTCCTTCCTAACACCTGCCTCCGTCCCAGCATCGAATCCTCCCGTCAACTTTCCCAATAGTCGGCAGCTTTCAAATCCCGTGCTCCTCGCACCTCCCAAGCCAACCTGTGGCCTCCTGTCAGACACACAGAAAAAGCGGGGCTCCGTGGGCCACAGAGATGCGGGCCTCCCTACCTCTGCACCCCCATTTGCTGCCACACTCTCCTTCCCAACGTGGGAGCCGTGCTGACCTCCTTGTCACACCTCAAGTTCCTCAAGTTCCTTCTGGCCGCGGGACCTCCATACCTGCAGCTCCCTCCCTCAAATCTGCTGGTCCCACTCCTTTCCCTCAGGCCTCTGTTCAGTGTCTTCTCTTCAGAGGCTTCCCTGGCGCAGGAGCAGAAAGAGCTTACCTTTCCACCCCAACCACGCTGTCTCTCCCCTTATCTCGCTTCATCTTTCTTCCTGACACCACTGACTTGATTAGGTTCTGCACTGATGTGCTTATAATGGTTTTGTTGTCTGTTCCCCTTCTTGTCTGTAAACCCCACCAGAGCAGGGCCTTATTGGTGTTGTTCACGGCTAACTTGCAGAGCCAAGCACAGTGCCTGGCCCATAGCAAGGGTTGAATGAATGAATGAACATGTCTTGCCTTAGCCACTTGACACATACTGTGAGGAAGGTGCCTCGGCTCAGGCTAATGCACCTAAGAGACCACATGTCTGCCTCAGAGCTGCTTCTGGAGTAGAAGCAGGGGCCCGTTCCCAGGATGGTCCTGTGGTCACCTGATCCATGGCTGCCGCCCCCGGGGTCAGCCTCCCAGGGATCCCTCAGCCAGCCCTGGGGGCCATTTAGACCCTGGTCTCTTTCATTCCCGGTCCTGAGGCTCCGAAGGCCCCGGGAACGGTTGGGTCAGATCTGTGGCCTAGGTGCAGGAGCTCCCAGAGCTCTCCTGGGACTGAAAGCCACCCCCACACCTTCTCTGTCCTGCGTCCAGCTTCCCTGGGGGTTGGTGTGAGTTCCTGCACTGGTCCTTTCAGCCCAGGCTGGGAGGTTAGAGAAACCGACCTTGGAGGCTGCCCCAGGGCGAGCTGATTAGCCCCCGGAGTACATTAGAGGAAGTAAATAAATGGATGGATGGGTGGATGGATGGATGGATGGATGGATGAGTAAATTAGTAAAAGCTCCTCTTGCCTCTCTGTTTACCACCCTGGAAATTCTACCCTTAGAAATTCATTCTTTTGGGGCACCTGGGTGGCTTAATCAGTTAAGCATCTGCCTTTGGCTCAGGTCGTGGTCCCAGGGTCCTGGGATGGAGCCCTGCATCGGGCTTCTTGCTCATGCTCTCTCTAGCTCTCTCTCGTGCACTCTCTCTCACAAATAAATAAAATCTTAAAAAAAAAAAGGAAATTTTTTTTTTTTTTTTTACTCTCCACACCCAGCATGGGACCCAACATGGGGCTTGAACTCACAACCCTGAGATCAAGATCTGAGCTGAGATCAACTGTTGGACACTCAACCAACTGAGCCACTCAGGTGCTCCAGAAATTCATTCTTAAGGGACGAGAGGAATGTGGCCCTACCTCCTGCAAGAAGTCCCCCAGCCCCCACCCTCCTGCCCTGCCTGGGCCCTCCCTCAGCGGAGGTGCCTCCTCATCCCTCCAGGGCCTCACCCCCTCCACCTCTACACCATGCCAGGTACCCCCGCGGGCCGGGCCTGCTTCTTCTTCACCCTGGTGTCCTTCAGAAGTTCCTCCACCTTACTGTGCAAATAAAATCATGAGAAAATAAGAAAAAAGAAATCCCTCAGGGCTGGGTCAAAGGATACACTGATCTGGTTTGGGGGCTATGCCTGGAAGCTGTATGGTAAAGCTAACACACACACACACACACACAAAAAAAGCTAACACAAAGACCCTTAGGTAACACCGGCAGGGACTGTGTAAGCGACACGGCTGCCTTGATTTGGTTGGTCTGGGGCGCCCTGGGCCTCAGGACCCGAACGCCCTCTGCGCCCCCCCCCACTGCGCCCCCCACTGCGCCCCCCACGGACTCTCCCACACAGCCGGCCCGAGAGCCACTGGCTTTCCGGGCTGGCTAATAGGCGCTGACTGGTACGAAGGCCCCGGGTACGTGGGCATCTCTCCGGACAGTCTGAGTCACCGAGCTGCGCCGCCAGCCGTGAACAATTCAGCGTGGCGAGCGCTGCTGAGGAAGCCCGGTGCCAGGCGCTTGCTGGTTGCTGGGGAAATGCAGAGAGCCATGGTCCCTCTCAGACTTGCCACTCACCGTGGACGGTCAGAGCTTGGGAAGTGGCTCGACAGCCACGCTGGGCGCTGGTGATGATGCGCAGGGTGAGGGGAGGAAATGGCTGGGGGCGAGGGGTGCCGACCAGTGCCAGGCTGGCTCCAGCACTATCTGCCGGCTGGCCCCGGCTGCTCGCGCCACCCCGAACCTGCCGGGAGGGCCTGTTATGGGAGGGGAAGCAGGGTCCACAGAGGTGAAGGTTCTGGCCCTGAGCCCCGTGTGTCTTGACTGCTCTTCTGTCTCTGTCCCGACGCTATGTGGGGGCAGAAAGAGAGCCCAGGGAGCCAGCCTCTGACATTTGACCCTGAGGGTCGGAGGGGTCTTGGAAGCTTGCTGCCCAGGGGTTAGGATCCCTCCATCAGCTGGGGAGTCAGGAGGAGCCCCAACGCCCTCAAGTCCTCTGTGTCCAGGTGTCCCCCATCACCCAAGGTCCTGGCTCGCTCTGCCTGCTCTAAGAGCCCCGGATACTCTGGCCTTCCCTCCCCTACCAGACTGTGAGACCCATCAGGGGTGGGGGACAGGACTCCCCCTTCCCCACCTTTATTGTCCACCCACCTCTCCGGGGCAGAGCAGACACCCAGCCAATCAGGCACTGGGGGCTGTCGGTGGCACAAGACTTCCGAGGGGGCCCAGGGTCTGCAAAATTGGAGGTGGCCTTGGATTGGAGAGGCAGCGTAGAGAAGCCAGGGGTCGACTGTCCAACCCAGCCTAGCTGAGTGACCCTGCACTTAACCTGTCTGTGCCTCAGTGTCCTCAGTTACAAACTGGAGAAACACACTGTCGCACCTACCTCCAGGCATCGCTGTGAGCGACGCCGCTGGGAGAGAGAGCGGCAGAGCACCGTACAGCTCTATCCACTACCATCAAAGTACTGTCCCATCGCCGTCGCTGACATCATGTTCCCATTAGTGGTGCCTAGTTCCCCGGTGGGCTCTGGGCCAGCCCCCGATACAGACCTTGGACTTTGAGCTTGGGCTGCTGCCTTGGGCTTCTCTGGGCTTTTTCTTAATCCTGGGGGTGGTCAGGTGGTGGGCTTGGTATCCACAAAGCCAGTGGTGCTCAGGCTCGGCTGCATGTTAGAACCCCCCGGGGACCTCGGAAAAATCCTGATGCTCCATTAAATAAAAATCTGTAGCAGTAGGAGCCAGGCATCAGTACTTTGTGAAGCTCCCCAGGAGATTCCAACCGGCAGCAGAAACCGAGACCCAGTGCTTGATGCTCATTTCTCATGCACACGAGAGAGAGTACTCCAGTGGCTGGAGGCTGGTTTGAGGATCAGATGAGTGGCTCTTGACCTACTAGCCATATAACCTTGGGCAAGTTCCTTAAGACTTCTCTGACTCAACTTCCTCGTTTATAAAACGGGAGGGCAGTATCAACCTCACAGGTGGGTTTTGAGGAATAGCATCAAGTTAAATAGGGTGCCTGATACGTAATGGGAATTTAATATGTATTATTATTTATAGCCATAGCTCAAAGTTCCCCTCATTGGTTAAGTATATCTTCCAACAGGCCCAAGAAATGTTACCTACCCTCCCCACACACATACATTTTAAATTTTTCCCCTTGAAGCTGCATGAATCCAACTGTAAGCCTCGTCAGTCCCACTCTTGCCTCACACCATTGCCAACTGGTTTCTTGGGATTATTGTAATGCTTATAAGGCTGACCCTGGGTCCCATGTAAGAAGGTTCTTTGTGTCCTCCTTAGGTCTGATCTGTAAGGCACTGCTCTTACTAGGGGGTCCCCCCCCACGGGGACAGGACTTTCTCATTTGGAGTCTTCAAATCCCTGGGTTAGGAATGGGGAGAGGGTCCCCCACGCATTCACCTGGGAAAAGCTGCACAGCCTGATTGAAATGTTGTTTCCTTGCTTTCGGCTAAAATTATCTTACCTCATACTGATTGGAAGCCCTGGCAGTTAAATGCCCTTGATTAATTAAGATGCAAAAATAGATCAATGATTACCTCTTACACGCATTTTTCCTCCACAAACCTCTCAAAAATGAAGATTTCTAGAGAAAAATCCTGGCCATAGGAGGGATCACTGGTAATGGCATGGTCAGGGACCCCTAGACAGGACAGGATCAATCAGAATGTGGTGGTTTTGCCAATTCATATCCAGGTGTTGGGGCTCAGGTTAAAACTAAGATGCTGTTCTGGCGGGAAGGGCTGATTTTTGTCCTCTGAGGAAGGATCAGGAGGCCAGACCCCCAGAACTTGTCTACCCTGCTAGGCCAGAACTAATGTCTGAGCTGAGGGGTGGGAGCTGAATTATAGGGAAACCATCATGGTAGAGCCTCTGCCTTAATAGACATGGTTACTATAATAGATGCCGTCTCTGTGCTCCTACCATATACCAAGCATCTGACATATCTTTTCTTGCTAAGTTCTGCCAACAGTCCTATGAATTAGATACTAATGTCCCCAGAGAGAATTTCTTCATTCATTCATTCAAAAATATTTATTGAGCTCTCACCATATGCTCAGCTCTTTTTGGGGGCGAAAGCCAACACAGTCCCTGCCTCATGGGGTTTACAGTCTAGTGAGGGAGACTCATATTACTTGGACAATACACAGATCAATGTATCAGAATCTTTTTGGCAACATGTCAGATTGAGCTATTTCAGGTTGCCTTTCCCTTGCTACCATCTGCTGCATAGAGCATGAGACAACACAGCTGAGCTCAAAAGAAAGAAAAGAAAATCCTCAGATTCCAGAGATAGTGCATGAACTCAAACCCAGAGTAAGGAATGGGAGCTCAGCCTATGATTCATGGGGTTTTGACTAGACAAAGGCTCTATGGCCTGGAGCCTGGAGTTCTAAGGCCCTTTTAGAGACAGGAGGTAGCCCCAGGCTGTCTGAGGCAGGGGAGCTGGAATTCATCCCCCTGAACTTATCCTTTTAAGGCTTGGAGCCTTAAAAAGAACCCTAGTCAGGGAAGGAGGGGGCTGGGAAAATTCTACCAACCTGGCCTGCAGAAGGAGCAACACTTCCTCAGCATCCTGGGCTTGGGTGGGAGAAAAGTTCCTATGAAAGATGGAAGGTCCGGGCCTGACCCACATGGAAGACAGAGGTGGACTGCTCCCACTGCATCCCTATCCCTCAGTGTGCCACCGGTCCCAGGACTCTTGTGCCAAAAGTTAACATAAAAATTAGTTCAGAACTTAATGCCCTGACTGAAGCAAACCCCAACGTACTCTGTAAGAACATTTTCACAATGTAGGGCTCACAAACATCCCAGAGCAAAAACAACTGCCAATGAAGATGAGTTCCCAATCAAAATTACAAACCACACAGGAAAAGAAACTATCGATAAGAGATCATCAGTAAATACAAAAACAAAACAAGACAAAAAATTTGGAAGAATTCACCCTCTCAGAAATAGAAGTAATAGACAAATCTAAAAGCAAAATAAACATTTTAAGTGATTATAAAGAATTTTTTAAAAGAAGGGACACCTGGCTGGCTCAGTCAGTGGAGCTTACAACTCTTGATCTCGGGTTTGTGGGTTCAAGTCTCACATTGGACATAGAGATTACTTAAAAATGAAATCTTAAAAAAAAAGAAAGAAAAGAAATAATAATAGAGAACAGGATAATATGAAAAAAAAATTGATGGAAAACAAGCCAAAGAGAAGTTCTAGAAATGAAAAATACAGTTTTAATAAATTATTGATTAAAATTAATTGGTGAAACATCAGAATAAGACATTTAGCAAGTTGGGTTATACCTCTGGGAAAAAAAATCACTCTGCTAGTACACAGTGAGAAAATGAAGAGAAGAAAAATATGAGAGCAACCATGGCTAAGAGATATAGAGAAAGAAATGACAAGATCTAGCCCACCTTAGCCGGCATATCCAGGAGATTGAAGAGTGTATGGGAAGGGAGCAATATTTGAAGACATGATGGCTGGGAATTGATCAAAATTGAGGAAAAACCTCAATCTTCAGTGAATAAACACCCAGAGTCCTGAGAAAATAAACAACACAAATTCACACCTTGGGCACAGAGTGGAAAATCTGGAGAACAGCAAAGCCAAGCCCATAGTATTAGATAGTATGGTAGTTCTATGAAGGAGAGGTACCTAGTTCGAGAATAGCATGTAAGTATGGAGTGCGGAGGGAAGGGTGTACTCATCTTCCCTAGGGGTCAAGGAAAATGTGATGATTAATTTTACATGTCAACTTGACTAGGCTGTGGTACCCAGCTATTTGGTCAAATGCCAGCCTAGATGTTGCTGTGAAGGTATTTTTTTAGATGTGATTAACCATCAGTGGGCTTTAAGTAGAGCAGACAGCCTTCCATGAGGTGGGTGGGTCTCATCCAATCAGTTGAAGGCCTTAAGAGCAAAGGCTGAGGTCTCAGAAGACGGGATTCTGCATCAAGACTGCAACATAGAAACCCAGCCTGCAGTCCCCGTGGAATATGGACTCAGGACTGCAACATGAATTCTTAACCTGAATTTCCACTGTAAAAAATCTCTGGTTTGGTAAGTATGTCGTTTCTCTCCATTGCACAGGAACGTAAATTTCTAACTATTAACTCCCTAGAGCGATTCTGTGTTCACTAAAGTTTGAGAACCACTAAGCAAGAGTATGGCAGGTGCCTAAGCAGAAGTCTAGGGCCTTCGGAATAACCATCCACTCTGAGTTGGCCATGATCATGCTTGCTGCAGGATTTACTCAACCCTCTTCAGTGTGAAGCCTGACTTGTTCATGGATATGTTTGCTGCTCGGGACTCTGAAGGAGACAGTGGAGGACTGAGTTCTAGAGCCAGTCTGAGGGGCCTGTTTACCTAGCATGTCTGTCCTGGAAAACCTGGGATGGTGACACATGACACACCTCTACAACCTAGGATTGGGGCTGGCTTTCTGAGAGCATATCTCTTAGAAAAGGAGAACAGGAGCTCCTGGGGCATAGGCAGAGATCCAAATTTTAGTATCTTTTGTTTCTAGCATTGTGCTCCCTAGCACTAAAGGGCTCAGTCTATAATGCAAGGGAGTGGAGGACGGAGGAAGGGAAAGAGGAACCGCCTTATCTTCTACCTCTAAGAAGAGTCAAAGTACAGAAATCCTTTTGCATAAGGCTGACATGCAGCCAGAATGTGCCAGAATTATTTGAGTATTGACGTGCTTCCATTCTGCTTGGTAATTAGTCCCAGTCCTGAGCTTGCCCCCGCTTTAAGTGTCCCCAGTGCTCTGGCTGCCCCTGCCCTTCCCTGGAGACCCTCACCCTCAACCAGGACCTGCCCCAGCCCCTCAAGCTAAGTTAGATCTGTTTGGTCACTGCCCTGGTGTGCAGAGAGCTGTGTGGAGTATCATCCCCCGCATGGGTTTTCTGTACCCGGATGGAAATGTGCCAAAGAACTGCTTAGCCAAGACCACGGGGGCTGACCCATATGAAAACAGCCACAGTGAAATCAGGAGACACTTGGCGTTCTTGCCTCTCATGTCCAGGGAGTGGACCTGCACCATAGTGGAAAAACCCTTGACCTTAGAGCCAGAAGACTTGGGTCCTGCTCTGGTTCTGAATATCCTAGCTGTGTGACCTTAGGCAATTTACCTAACCTCTCTGAACTCCTGAAAGATATCCCTTGCACAAGGTTGGCAGGGGGATGAACATATTGAAACCTTGGGAGCTTAGTCCCTTGTCTCAAGGTCCTGAGCTAAATCCAGACCTATAAATTTAGCAACAGAGAATCTGCCCCCGCCTGCTGGCTCCTGCTGTTCCCAGAAGTACTCAGTCCCTGGTGATGGTTACCAGGATGCTGGCTGTAACCAGGTGCTCCCTTGGCCAAGGACACTCTTCCCTCCTCCTCCAAGGGCCTGTGGGTAACAAGCAGGGAAGTGACTGGAGGGGCTGCTGGCCACATGCCTTTTTTCTGCCCTGCATGGCTCCTGGTGAGTGGGGCTCATTGCTGGGGGGCAGGGGGAGGTGGTCACCCCCCACCAGGACTCGTCATTATGTGGATTGTCTAGTCTTCCTCCAACTCATCCCACCTAACCCCCACAGCCCTACACCTCCAGGCACACTCAGGAAAACATCAGCACATTCAGATATGCACCTGCATATTCATGCACACTCACACATACACCCCCACACACCTACACTCACCTACCACACCCTCACACACATAGTCATGCACATGCTCACACATGCACACGTACTCACACACACCTTCAGATGCACACATACATGCTCACACACCCTTACACCCATATTCCCAAGAACATATAAAAAATGCAGTACATGAAATAATTTTAGGTTATTCACATATTTTCAAAAATCTTTAATAGTTAATGATTTATTTTAATATGAAATAGAGAAAAACGACAAGCCTATCAAACTAGGGACTTCACAGCAATGATGGTTTATGACACAGCTAAAGAAGGTAGGGCAAGTTTAAGTGAAAGGGCGTGAGTTGCTTTAAAGGAAAATGTTGAGTAGATCGTGGCAAAGTTGCATGAAATGATCCCCGAAGGCCCTCAGTTTGGGGAAACACGGTAACAGTGGGAGTGGAGGGCTGGGGGCTCTGCATGGGGCATGTGGGGAATGTCAACACCTCAAGATGCAGAGGAGGCATGCCAGCCATGGAGGGAGACTCAGGGACTCTTCTAGAAAGAGGGAGAAATTTATCAATTTTTTTCTTTTAGGGTTATTGCTTTCTGTACCTCATCTAAAAAATAACTTGCCTCCTCCAAGCTTGTGAAGATGGTCTCCTACATTTTCATTCAGGAGCTTTAGAGTTTTGGCTTTTATGTTTAAGCTTGTGATACATTTTGAACTAACTTTTGTGTATGGTAGGAGATAG